AGACATTTTAAATAATCAATCTTAAAGATTTTAATGGTTTGGCAATTTTATTCTGCTGCAGATCCTAATATAATGAAGAAGTTTCAAGTAGATAGGGGCGCTATTAAATTTGTTTTTTCTGGTGCTAATATCATGTGTCCTGGTCTTACGTCACCTGGTGGTGTGCTGGATGAAGAAGTTGGGAGCGAGAGGCCTGTGGTATGTCTCCTCATGCTTGAAATCCAGTAATGCACATTTGAGTGATTTATTCATGAAGCTCCATACATTAGATAATGTTTGAATATTGTATACTCCATCTTATGTGATTTTAATTCTTGAAATTAATATTTTAGGCCATAATGGCTGAAGGAAAGCAGCATGCTCTTGCTATTGGCTTCACAAAAATGTCCTCAAAAGATATGTAAGTTTCATCCTATGATCATTTCTTAGAGTACTGCTGGTTTGTGAAATTGTATCTTGGAAGTGGGGCTAAATAAAGCAATGAGGCCTATGACCATGTCATTGATTTCCAAGTTTTTATTGATATGGATGTTGTGATCTTAGATTTTATGTTCATAATCAAAACCAATATCGGCACAACTTAGTAAAAGTCTAATATATTTGTGAGAGTTAAGTGTTTATGCTTTCTTTCTATGCATGTGATGATTTTCAATTTTTTGCTTCATTTTTCATCTGAATATTATACTCTGTGGTTATTGTGTATTGTCTCCCCAGTGTAAAACTTTGTCACATCCCATGACATGAGCCAAAATGATTGACTTAGTTTCCTTCTGTTGCTGTCTATTTTATATCCTTGTCAGAGTTACGACACATGTAGAAAAAAATAGTACATGGCATATATCATCAGTATAATTTTCCCATATGCAACTTGCTTAGAGCTTACCTTCTTGATGCAGAAAAACTATCAACAAGGGCATTGGTGTAGACAACTTGCATTATCTCAATGACGGCCTATGGAAGGTATTCTACTTACGTCTTCCTCTGTCCCTCCCATCGCCTACTTTCTCTGAACGCAGATATCATCTCATTTTATAACCTCTATCGTTTGATACTTTCATCATAACCCATAACTATTTACTGTATAATTGAGCTTTAATTACCGTCGCTGTAGAATGGTAAATTCCACTGGTTCAGTAATGTTATTTGGAGCTGAAATTGCATAGTTGCATGGTTTCATATGAACTTCATTTGCCCTTTTTAATGAGCGTCATTTGATTGGGGGTCTTTTTTTAGTATTGAATTGAACCACAAGACTATAACTATCCTTCTCTCTTACCTACCATGTGTTCATGCCTCTGGCAGTCATTCATTACACTATGTTTAAATAGAGAGAAATGGAGGGAAAGGAGGAGAAGAGAAAAGAAAGGATGCATCATCTATTGTAAGGAGAGAAGGGAAGGGAATTGGAAGGTTCCATTTTCCTTCCCCTTTTAATAAACCAAATCCTTCCATTGTTGGAGAGATTTGGAGGGAAAATGGAAAGTCACCTCCTCCCTCCCCTCACCTCCCTTTCCCCTCCCTCTTTTTCCTTCCCCTTCATTAGTGTTATCCAAACATAGTGTTGGAGTTTTTAGCAAAAAGGTAGTGTAATATGTGCAAGTAAAATCTTAAAGTTTAACTGACTCTATTTGGGAAGTGATTATCATTATGGGATTTTACAGTAGAGATGGCTTATGTTTCATACAATCTTGCTCATATTCCCCCCTACCCCTCCCTCGCCTCTCCGAGTCTCCGTGCACACATGAAATCCCATGCCCATACATCAAACTCTTAAGGAGAAAGAACTACTGAAGTTGATATCAGATTTTAATTTAAACTGTGCTCATGTTTATGCAGATGGAGCGCTTAGATTGATGGTGTGAAGAGTGGTCAGCAATTCTAAAATCCATGCCTTGCTGTTTGTTTGGGCATTTACGCTTTTTCCTTGCTTTTACGTTTGAGAGGATAAAATTTTCCATGATCTTGTTGCGGCATTTTTTCATGTGTATTCCATTTAAATAGTTAGCATCTGTTGCTCAAATCTGTATCCTATCACAAAATAGTCATTGATGATAAATTGATAAGCACATTAATTTATTTATCTCTTTTCTTTTTTTTACTAAATTTGAAACTTCTGTTAAGTCAATGCCTATGTATCACAGTATCTGACTTGATATCAGCACCTCTTTGTGAGAGACATTCACAGAAAGAGTGTTCCACTGCGGAAGTCACTACATTTGCTACGTAATTGGGAGTTGCGAGCTCATGTTCATTGTTCAATAGAGTAAACGCAAGGATCTCCGTATGATCGCATCTCTTCTTCTAAGTTTTAACCTCCAAAGTCAATATATGAGGTAGATGTTGTGGTAGGCATGATGGGACAAACAAGACTCATCACTAACTACTAGGGAATAGGGATACTTGTCAATTGAATCAAATACTACTTAAACACTTTCCTTTAGCAAAGTTGCAACAATGTTGCATGTTCCTTATTAGATTTTCTTCATAACCTCTTACATATCTATCTGTCTTATAATTTTTTTCAATGAGGGGTCTATCAATATGTTATGGTCGTGGAAATAATTTGTCTAATTCATCTAATTGTAATTGAAAAAAGAGTACATTAAGATTACATGGATGAGACTTTTTTTTTGTTTTTTATTTTATTTTGTATGATTCGGGTGGAGTAGCAAAAGTTGATTCTCATAAAGAAGAGCAAATCACTGATGGTAAGATACTATTTGATCAAAAAAATGAGAGTTTGGGTAGCCTAAAATATGTGTTTTTAGGGTCAAGTCTGAAATGGCCAATTGACCAGATTGGTAAATAAAAAAGACCCCTAGCGACAATTTGGTTAAAAAACTTACTTCGGCGACAATTTGGTAAAAAAAAGCTAACCATATGTGACAATTTGGTAAAAATAATAAACTCCAGCGACATTTATACCAAAAAATCTATTTATTTCCGACAAACTCTTTTAAAATCCTAATTTAATTTGTTTGTGTGTTTTTAACTTTATTTTTCCCATTTAAAATTTTGAATTATGTCATCCCTCTATATTTCCAACCCCTTTTTAAAAAAAAATTCATGAATAAGGGGCATGAAACTTAAGTGAAAATTGATACTTAACATTTTTTTTCTTCAAATTGTTATTTTTATAAAAAAGGTTGGTAAAAAAAACCAAAAAAAGCGAACTAAATTAAGCATTCGCGAGTAATTTATCAGAAATTTTAGTATTTTTTGGATTAATTATCGCCTGAGATTATTTTATTTACCAAATTGTCGCTTAAGGTTAGCTTTTTTTTACCAAATTGTCGTCGGAGTAAAATTTTTTTTATCAAATTGTCGCTAAGGATCTTTTTTATTTATCAATCTGGTCAATTCGTCAGCCTGAAACTAGCTAGAAAAAATCCGTTTTTCCAAAATCGAGGGTCTCACCTTCGCCACGCTTCTTTGACCCTATCCCATGTGGGATACGAGGCAAGGTATTCCGTAGGAGCAAAAACATCTTCTACTGCTTCTGCCCTTGCTATTCTGATCTAACTAGTTTGACCTTGACTTTGTGAACTAAGATTTAGGTTTACCACGACATTTGATTTTATCTATCATATTATACTCATATAATCATGTTCATATTTTTAATGTAAAAAGTTTTTATCCAAAATAATTTGTAAGTAATCCAATAACATATATTTCCATTTTTTTTAGTAATCTATAAAAAAATGAGGGAGCCCTGATTAATAAGGCTGATATACAAACTTTGTATATCAGTCTTTAAAAACTGCGGTATGATTTTACCTTGAATTGCTATTTCAAGTAGTGATTTTAGAGTATCTCTAATTGAATAATGATACACAAAAGGAACCTGCTTGCAAATTAAATAAAGTTGCGGGAAAACATTGATGTAGCTTGATTAAGTAACCTGCTTAAACAAGCTACGTCGCTTGGTTTTGCAAAGAAAACTTCATCTAATAAAATTATGACATGTGTATGATAAAATTTACTTTATTTAATTATTTATTTTTTCAAGCTACAATATGCAATTATGGAGATAGTGCTACGAATCACAAAATCAATAAAACGTACTAAAGTATGTAGTATAAAAATAAGAATTTTATTCAATAATCGAAAACCCCTATTCATATAAAATAGGAATTTGAATCATTAATCGAAAACCCCAATTCATTTCAATGCTATTCGTTACACAAGTCCACTAATAAATATCTAATCTAATTAGCAACTAATTCATCATATGCCTCTAACAGTGATAAAATAAGCAATATTTTAATAACAGATTAATTAAAGATTATGATATAAGTGTATGGCAAATGCATATACTTGAAGAGAAAGAACAATAGATGTAATCAATCCATACGACGAAGTGTGTTTTCCCGTATTTCTTCTTCGATATATTTGTTTATTTGATTTGTAGAGTTGTTTTATGGCTCTTTAGCTCGCCGTGCCTCGATCTCTCTTCGCGTCAAGAAAAGACACCACATTGTATGGATTGATTACAGCTACCTTTACCTTTACCCATCAAAGATATGCAATTTACCATACATCGATATCGAAAATCTTTAGCGTTACAAACAATTGCAATTTTTATAAATCCGAAACACAAAAAACAAGAAGAGAAATAATTCAAAGAGTAACAATATTTTGTTGAGAGAATATAATACCTCAATATTTCAGATGATGAAGCTGATGAATTGCGAAAATAGGATCAAGAACACAACCGTAATACTCAAAAAACAGAAAAAAAAATAAAAAAAAATAAGAGGTTTGTTTTTTTAAACAAATATGCATGCTCCATTTTATGGATTGAAGGTGATATTTATATCCAATTATTGGAAAGAACCGACCTTTTTTTGGGAATAAAAGACCGACCTATTTTATTCTCCTTGACGCACAAGAAATGGTAAATATATCTGACTTATACATTTTTAATTGTAATAACTAGACTAGATAAGTATGAATATCCTAAATTTGGCAGCAAAAAAAATTTATTATTAGTATATAGATTATTAAAAAAAGGAAAAATTGGTAAAAATAATCCCAACTTTCACTTATTTGCTTTTAATAATCCCAACTTTGGATTATTATTAAATAATCTCAATTTTGGGGTGTATTCGCTTTCTTTGGTCCCTAATCGGTAACTAACTTGTTATAACAGGTTTTTGGGATACGTGGCATCACGTAATTGGTTTTAAAAAAACGATTAAAAACCTTTTTTTTGGGGGGGGAAAGGAAACTAAAAAAAAAGCTTAAAAAAAAAGTGAAAAATTAATTAAAAAAACAAACTCAACCCCCCACTGCCACCATCTCCACCACCAACCTCCGCCCACTCCCGGAACCCCCATTTTCGCCGGCACCAAGACGCCCAGTCCCCCCGGTACATAACCAGCTCCGCCGCGACAAGCACCAACCCATCCACAAACACACATCAATCACAACCACCACGAAAACCACCATGAAACCACCTTGTGGCAGGCCCGCAAAAAACGACCACAAATCCAACCAGGTTTCTCCTTAACTTGATTTGGATTTTTCGCAATCAAGTCGCAAAGCTCTGTTAAAGCTTCTATTGATGATTCTACAAAGATTAATCTAGAAATTACTGCAAAATTTGGGGAAAATTGTTAGGGTTAATTGCAAAGATCAAAGGAGGTTAATTTTTGCAACAAAGGTTTAGTGCGTGGTGGAGGTTATGGGGGTTTTGGTGGTTTAGGGGTACGGGGAAGGGGGCAGCGACGAGCCGGCACCGTCGCGAGGGAGAGGGGATCTGGGCGCGGTGGTTAGGAGCGGCTGATGTTGCCGTTGGTTTGGTTTTTTAGGTTGCTTGCCGTGGTCCTTGTTGCATTGGGGGTGTGGGCAGCAGTGTTGGTGGCGATTGGGTGGGTGGCAGAGGTTGTGGTTGTTGGTGTATGCGGCTGGGCGGTGATGGCAGGAGAGTTTGGTTTGGTGGGTGTGAGTGGTGAGGAGCAGGGGAGTTCTAGGTGTGGAGATGCGTGGCTGCTGGTGTTTTCGAGATGCCGGCAGGTGGTGCGGTGGGAGCGCAGGTTGTTGCGTAGGTGATGGTGGTTATAGGGGTTGCTGCGCAGGTGATGGTCGGAACGTAGGTGGTTAAAGGTGATGGTGGTGATGTTGTCGTTTGAATTTTCACTAGTAGAAAAAGATAAATGCGCACCGATTATTGAAAACCGGTGCAAAAAATGCAAGCCTAGACCACAAAAATAAAACAGGCTTAATAGGGCACCGGTTAACCGATGCCCTTTTCCCAAATATTCCCTAAAATTAGAACTCTCTCGCTCTCTCTCCTCTGTTTCCCCTCTCTTCTCGAATTCTCTCGTTCTCTATTCTCTCTTCTCCTCTCTCGCTCTCTCTCCATGCTAGCTTCCCACCAGCGCAACTTTCCTCTATTACAGCTTCCCACCGCAGCCACCACCAGCGCAAGCCTCCTCTCTCTCTTCTTCCATGCTAGCTTCCCACCACCAGCCACCACCACCGTAGTCAGTAATGGAGATGTTAAAGCAAGCCCTTAAAAAACCAGGAGAACGATGCCTAGATCTCTAATGGCGACGCTGCTCCTCACAAGGTTTATCCCTCCTTTTTTTTTGTTAATTTTATATAATTTGGGTTAGGGTTTCGATTTCGTTGAGTTTTTGGGTTTTGATTTTGGATTTTGTGATTTGGTTGTTGTTTTTGAGTTTGAGTTTGTATGTGATGTTTGATTTTGAGTTTGATTTTGTCCCTCTTGTTCGATGATTATTGTAATTTTTTGATTCCCAGAAACCCCTTTTTAATTTTTCTTGTAATTTTGATATCTAGGTGTTTTCACTTAGTTTAGATTATGGGTTTAATTGGGTTTTAGTAGCCTTAGCAGACTTAATAGTAAGTTTTGGGGTTTGAAATCAGATTCCACAACTCAATTTTATTATGATTGATCTGGGTTTTGTTAATTTGTTTCAATAATTGCGATTGATCTAGGATTTTGTTAATTTGAGCTTTTGAAACTGTGAATATACAAAATGAATTATGGGTATACAGAGTATTTGAATTGTGAGTATTTTTGAGTATTTGATACTTGAATCTTGAAATTTCACTATTTTGATTTGTGGATGTATTGTGAATGTTGTATTGGTTGTCATTTAATTTGATTTTGGGGGTATATATTTGTTTGGGTATATTTTGACTGATTTCTTGATTATGGACTTTATGGTATGGGTATATTTTGATCCCATTGAACTTACAATTTTAACTAAGATTCTGGTTTGGTAAATCTGTTAAGTCAGTTTAAGTTGTAAATTTGGCATATATAATGGTTCATGGAGATAGGTCTATAGTTTATGTGCATGTGTGTACATTGTTCACCTGCTAATTGCAATGTTTTCCTTGTGTGTGTGTGTGATGATCAGAAGCTGATTTCTGCAATCTGGTTGGGCTGCTTGGTTTACAAAGGACAATATTTTGACATAGCATCTTGCAAATTCCTTTGACATACGAGGTAAGCTGTGTGTTAATTATAGTGGTTTTTGTGAACTTTGTATTGATAAAACTCAGTGTGAGCAAGTGAATTAGCGTGTTTTTTTTTTTCCTACTTAGGTGAGGGTACATCAGGGACAAGAGCCAATTGATGGGGTAGACGTTTGCTTGATACAAATGTGCATGATTGTGGATATGGAAAATGGGATTTTGAAGCAAAGAATTCATAGTTTGGCTAGACAAAGAGAAGAGATGGAGCAAAGCTCTTTGTTATTGTCGTCATAAATTTAAGGTTAATGACTCACTTGCTTCTACTTTATTTTGGGTTCAAATTGTAGTGTTGCTTTATTATTTATAGATGTATGCTCAATATATTAACACACTAAAATAATGACTTAATGCTTGATTATGTGATTAATCGCTTGGTTTTGTACTAGAGTGTTTAAAATAATGCATCTGCTATCTTTTTTCTTTTTTTTTTTGCTTTTGCTTTGTTGCTCATATTGATGTTGGACTTGTTTGTTTGGGCTGAGAAATGTGACTCATGTGAGTCTGTTTATTTTTTATTTTAATTTTTTTTTTATTTTTTACCAACTCTTACCTTGTTCATTGGTAGGTATTAGTCCTGTAACTTGTGGACTATCTTGTGGGTTATTGAGCTTTATTACAGCTGTTCAGTTCCAAACCATGTCCGTATCATGTAGTTTTGTCAAAATTATTAACACTCAACGCACTTCACATGATAGAATGTGTTGGATGCATTGTCTTCTGAAGAATGAGTTTTGGATTTGATTTTCTGAACTGTGTTTTGGCTTTATCGAATGACTTGAATATGCTGCCATGTTGCTGCCTTTAAGTTAACTTCGGTTTTCAATAAACTTTTAATTTATCATTTCATAATATTTTGTTTGGGGTTTTAATTGTTTACTTGTTTCTTAGTATTAGTTTATATGATAGTTTTTGTCCCTTCCATTAGCTTAATTTAGATTACTTGATTCATCATTGCATTTCTACTACTTATCCAAGTGTTATGTTTCAGCTCTCCACGTTGTTGCCTCTTCACAAGAGAGTGGATCAGCTCTCCACGCTGCTACCTCTACTGCTACTCCCTCTGCTGCTGCTGTCTTATCTTTGATGCTACTGCCGCTTTTACATTGCTTCTACTGCCTCCTATCTTTGATGCTGTTGCTAATTCTGTAGTGCTGCTACTGCCTCCTCCTATTATGATAATAGAAGTATCCAAGAAGAAAATATTGATGCTGTAGTTTTTTCAGTTTTTTAAAGTGTGATATTACAAGTTATTGAAGAAAAAATATGTATTTTATGTATATTATGATTATACATAAGTATCTGGTACATTTTAAGTGAAAAAAATGCAATTTTTTTTTTGATTTTTTGGGCCATTAAGGGCACCGGTTAACCGGTGCTAATAACCTTGTATTCGCACCGGTTAACTGATGCTAATGTTAATTATTTCCACCGGTTTTCAACCGTTGCGAATAAACTTAGCTTTTTGCACCCCTCAAATGACCAACGGTTCAAAACCAAAGCCGGTTTTGAACCAGTTCTACTGCTCATTTGCATTTTTCTACTAGTGTTTGACTGTTTTTTTTTTTCAAAGTTGTTGTTGTTGTTGTTGTTTTTTTTTTTTTTTTAAAAAAAAAAAAATTTAACATTTCAACCAATCACGTGGTGACACGTGTCACATAAACTTAAAAATTAAAAAAAATTACCTCTTTAACAGGTTACCGGTCACTTGGGACTAATTTGAGCGAATACACCCCAAAGTTGGGATTATTTAATAATAATCCAAAGCGCATACATGAAAGTTGAGATTATTTTTACCAATTTTTCCTTAAAAAAAATGCTTGAGTATTATATATGCACCCTTGAGTGATAGGATTTATTTATTTAAGAAAAAATTAACAAAAATAATCCCAATTATTGACCTCCTTCCCATTTTAATCCCATCTATAATTTAATTTAGAATAATCCCAACTATTGGGTGACCTTTCTCAAAATAGTTTCAAATTTTTTTAACCTAACGTACTAGTAAAAAGAATGATGTGTGAATTTGGCATAAAAAAATCTCCATTTCTTTTCTCTGAATCACTGCCCACCTCAACCACCCTCCCACCAGCTTTAATTCCCAGCCACCGAAACGTCAAACCCTAACCATCCTCTTAGCCACCCACAGTTGCCGAAACCCACCATTCTAGCCAAGCCCATCTACCGAAAGCCACCATTTTTCCATGCCCAGCCACCGAAACATAAAACACTTGGAGCAGTAACAATCAAGTAATCAACTATGAAAGTGATGCCTTCTTAATTTTTTAATATTTTTTTATAATGCAATAAAAAAAAGGAAAAATTACATTTTTTAATACCAACTTTGCACAATTTCATTTTATTAATCCCAACTTTGGAATATTCTGCAATAATCCCAACTTTGATATGGGCTTTCATTCTTCATACCCAAACCGGTCAGCACAAGTCAACAACCTTCTATTGTAGGTTGCTGGACACGTGTCGCCAGTTGAGAGGTCCAATTTGTTTTTTTTTTTTAATTTTTTTTAAAGAAAAAAACAGAAAAAAAAATTAAAATCAAAGAACAACCACCCACCCACCTCCCTCCATGAACACCGTACCCACCCACCTCCCTCCACGAGCACCGAATTCACCCGCCCCCACGACCACCCACCCACCAGAACCCAGATCGGCAGGCCCACGACCACCGTACCCACCCACCTCCCTCCACGAACACCGTACCCACCCCACCGCCACCTCCACCTCCACCTCCACAAACACCAACAACCCAGAACCTAGACCCGCGAAAACCTTCCACCCCGCGAACACCTACCCACGACCACCCACAAAAGGGCCCAACCCCAACGAAAAACCCATCCAACCCACTGACAAACCACCTCCTCATCCCACGAACCACCATCCCCATTTCAAACAACTCTTCAAACCACCTCCTCATCCCACGAACCACCAGCCCCATTTCATCGACCCCAAAACCAGAATCAGATCAAGCACCAAAGCTAGAAGCGGCGTCGTCAAGCATGGACAAGAACAACATAGGATCCGCCATCGAAAATGGGGGCGATTCAACAAATTTACAAGATCTTCATCTTTAAGGTGGGAGGGTGGTGGTTTCGCAAGCGGGGAGGTAGGTGGGAGGGTGGTGGTTTCGCGCATGCTAGGAGGTTGGTTTGAGGCGATTTCGGGGGTGGGGGGGGGGGGGAAGAGAGGGGGTAGTTTCGGGGGTGGGGGAAGGAAGGTGGTTGTTTTCGTCGGAGAGGAAGGGGGAAAGGGGAGGTTTCTGCGAAGTGGCGGCGGATTCCGGCTGGGCTAGGGGGAAGGGGGTGGTTGGCAGGGAGGAGAGTTTTTTTTTTAATTTTAATTTTTCAGTTTTTAAATTTTTAATTTTAATTATTGATTTTTCTGTTTTTTCTTAATTTATTTATTTTAATTTTTTGAAGCAATTATCAAGTGACACGTGTCTTAAATTTTTTTTTTTTAACCCTTTCATCAGGTTACCGGTTTTTGGGATTGAAGAATGAAAGCCCATATCAAAGTTGGGATTATTGCAGAATATTCCAAAATTGGGATTAATAAAATGAAATTGTGCAAAGTTGGGATTAATAAATGCAATTTTTCCTAAAAAAAATAAAGAGTATGTGAAATTGTGAATGGTCGAATGGAGAAAAAGGTATTATAGATATGGTGGGGGTAGACAAAGGTAAAGCATATTAATTACTGCAATTAATTAATTAAAATTCTAAGTCCTTAAAAATAGTAAGAAGGTAAGGCTATAGCCTGCGATTAAAGTCAAGAGGCCTCATAGCAAAACAAAACCAACACTTCCAAGTTCATTAAAGTAAAACAAGGCGAAAAAGTTCCGATCAGCTTCTAACAACAATGGAGATTCCTTTTGATTGTCATTTTAAAAAGTTGTTAAGGAGATGGTAAGGGGGATAGATAAAGATGAAAAATAAAAGAAAATGAAAAAAAGAAGCTTTTAACCGGTATGAGAGGTAATTGGTAAAGGAAACTATTTTGAGAGGGGTCACCCAATAGTTAGGATTATTCTAGGTTAAATTATAGTTGGGATTAAAATAAGAAGAAAGTCAATAGTTAGGATTATTCTTGTTAATTTTTCCTTTATTTAATTACTTATTTTATTTAATTTGCTAGTATATAGGATTTTTATTGTTATTTTCTTGATCATGATTTAATTTGTGCTAATTAATATTATAACGTTATTCCAATATTTTTGTCATAAGTAATTATTTTGATCACCCGTTTGCATGCATGTTTAATTGGAAATACGTAATTCAAAATCACTTTTAGAGTGTGTTTGGTTCGTAGGTTTAGTTACTAATGAGAGGGGTGTATATGAATCATACCACACAAATAAAAAGAAAAAACTCATTCCCACAACAACAATCAAACATTCAAACACAAGGTGTTAAATTAAGAATCAAGGTCCAACCCCATAGCCCACTTTAATTTCAATCCCAATTTCAAACTCATACAATTTTGTGAACCAAACACCCCTTTAAGAATGAATGAAAAGAGACTGAGAGGTAACTAAATTGGTTAAAGCTTCCCTTTCAATCTCAAGGGATTTTTAAAATCGGTTCTTATCTCGCCCTTAATGTCTCTAAATACACAATTAAAAGAAAAATGAAAACACTATCTACTCCATATTATACCATAGTTGTGATCCATCCCTATAACAAATAACAAACAAATATATAAATATGCCTTTTTTTTACTAATTAATTGTATCGTCATGTGTTTTTTTTTTCCCACAATATTTAATATAATAGTTTGATTATAAATATATTTAAGATTTAATTGCGCGTTAATAATTATGCAAATAAATATTTTAAATATACATATTGAAATGTAATTTAAATATTTCTAATTAACAATATTTCATTATTAATAAAAGTTTGACCTTCTAAAGAGAAATGATGCAACTATTTATCGAGCAAAAACAAAAAAAAAAAAAAAAAAAAAAAAAGAAAAAGAAAAATGCAACTATTTAAAAACAAAGGAAGTTTATAGCATGCTAGGTAAGTGCGTAGTGTATATAAGGTAGTGACTTATTTCTTCATGCAAAGCATTCCGCAATAAGATAAAAGCATGACAAGCACCAGCACGACAACAAATATGGCACTCGTAACTGGGAGCCAAATAGAGATACGATCTTGAACCGTGAATCGGAAACCACCAGTGGCTCCGGTGGTATCTTGACATATCTTATCCAAATCACCTAGAGTCGCCTCTTGAATTTCTGTCATATTTCCATAGTCAATCAGTTTTACTATGGCTTCTGAGAATAAATTTACAAAAGAAGGAGATTGATCTCTATGAAAAGCCTGCATGAAAAAACCAGACATAACGTTATTATATTAATGTGATTGCATCATTATTAGATGGAATAATAGAAGTAAAAACTAAAGAAAAATAGATCATGTTTCCAGGAAATAAAGTAAAAAATATTGGAATCTTGAAAAACCTAATGTAATACGTTGGTTCCTTTTAGTTTTTTCTCTTATAAGATTTTCACTTTCGTTCATTCTTTTTTGTTCTTTACACTTTTGCTATTACTAGCTTTTGTTGTATGTAAAGTATTGGTTAAAAAAAAAAAATTAAAATGTTCTCCTTACGGCCTTAATCTACATACAATGAGAAAATATTTTATATTTTATATTTTTATTTTTATTTGTGAATATTTGATACAATTATAATAATATCATTCCAAATATTTTATTTACCAAAAATATTATTCCAACTCCTTTTTAGTTATATAAAGAGTAATATTAAATTTTGCCAAAAAAGTAATATTCCGTAATAAAACTAATTCATATTATTGATATTAAAGAAATCACTTTTATTTGTTAGATATAAGTATTATTTTTTTTTTTAAAAAAAATTACACTTACCGTGCATGGCACGGGGGCCTAAGCTAATTAGAAACAAAATTATGTACTGTAGTAAAAGTCCCAAGTCTAGCTAACTATATTAATGTTGAAACCTAGAATAATTTACCTTGGATCAAAAATAAAACTAGAATGAATTGATCATGTAGATAAAATTAGCAATAAATTAAAAGAATAGAGAGAAGAATTGAATAAAATGAGGAGATCGAAAGAGACATACAAAGCCAAGTCCAGCAGATTTAACACGAAAATCTTGGACAAGGGTAAATTCATCGCAATGTTTTTCTTGGAAAAGTTTGAGATGTGCTGTATCAGCAACAACAGTATCGATACCACCATCTTCACCTCCTTTCTGTAGCTTGTAAAGCATTTCGACTTCGGATTCTAGTTCTATCAAATTTGTTACCTGAGAGTTGTGTCGAAGATGTTGCATGCTTATATGTACATAGCTTCCAAATCCAATACGCAACTGCGACGAAAATGCTAAAGCCAAGTGTACCGACTAGAACCAAAATTATTTTTGTAGCTGGTGTCAACGCATAGAGTTCTTTGCTATTCATGGCCTGTACCCGCACCAGTAGGCCTATCTCTGTGTCCAAGTAAGGCAATGTAAAATCAACCCACTGCATCCTAGGACTATTGTTATCTCCCCCACCGCACCATCGTAATCCTGCAAACTTGTAATGTAATTAATAATGTGAATCATACATGCAAAGACATAGTTGTTGATGATTATAAAAAAAAAAGTTTTAAAACCCGAGCATGATCTGGTGCTAACAAAGACAGGGAAGGGTGTATATGCACCTCATTATCGATGGCCTGGAGCATATCATCAAAAGTTCCTCTCATAGTCGTCCCATCAGAATCAGTGAAGGGTACTAAATCGATTTCACGTGAAGGGATGGCAATCTTGGCCGCGGCCCAGAAGACTTCAACGGAGAAACCACTAATGATAAAGCTTTCATTACTCAGTTTTCTGACTTTTACGAAATCTTCCAAGTCTCTTTTAGGTACTAGGAATCGTAATTTTCGAGTCGTGTCTGTCTGGTTGGTTAGACCCGTGCTATTCTGACCTGTTACATGAATGGCTATCAAGGACATTGTGAAGAGTAAAACGAGCAGGTATTTACCCGAATTTTTCATCTTCACAACTTTTAAGATTCAAGTGCAGGTTGATCCAAACACTTTGTATTTTTTTCTTTTTTTTTTTTCACTTTTGTGAAACAGAGTTCTTCTTTATGTCACCCAATTATTAGTACTCCATAGTTGAGCTAGTTGTAAGCGAAATCTTCAAGTTTATGAAACAGGAAGGGGTCAAGCACTCAAGAGTTGGCTAAGTCACCTCTAAAATATGAGTGTAATTGTTTATGATGAAGGCATTAATTATTTACATTACTTAACAAAAAAAAAAAAAAGTGGCTTAAATCATCTAGTTGCCTAATTAGATTATTTGTAATCTTTAATTACTACAACTTGTTTATGCAAGTAATAATTTAGAAAGTTCGTGTAGACCTGATAAGCATATGAAATCCATTGACTCGAGTTTTTAAGTGTGCCTGAGCTGTCGAAAATAGAAAATCTCTCAAGTTGCTATATAACAATTACGAGATTGTAAAAAGTAACATTCCTTTCTTAGATATCAAATTCAATTATTACAATTTGTCAAATGTCAACTTTGGTAGTAAGAGACTAATAGCTATCAAGCAGGATTGTATACTTTATGGCTGGCTTTGTGCTATTCCATTATTCAGAACAATTTTTTTTTTCTTTTTCAGGGTTTTGACTTTTGATTATTTAGATTATATTGAAAGGATTTGCTTCATCAAAATTTATCTTCAACTCTGTTGCTAATTAAATTGTCAATTTCAGTAGGGGATGACTTGAATAAGCTCAGCTGCGCGTTCTAAACTCTGCTAATTACAACAGCTCGGATATGAGTGTCGTTGGTCAGATGCAGGGCCTCATCATCGCCATCACCTTGCTACTGTATCTACCCACATATGATGCTTCAATTACAGACGACAACAACAAAGGCCCACAATACCGTCATTGCCCGCCTACTAGCTTTTCCTACAGCTCAGGCAGCACATTTGAAGAAAGTCTGAACCACACCCTTTTCACAAGAATCCTTCCTGATGCTGCCTTACGAATAACCTATTCTAAATTCACCAATGGTACAGGTATTAATCAGGTCTTTGCTCTGTATTTCTGCAGAGGAGATGTTGATGTCGATACGTGCCATCAGTGCATCCAGGCTGCAGTACAGGTAATTGTAGAGAAGTGCAAATTTAAGAAACAAGGGATTGTTTGGTACGAGTTTTGCACCTTGCGCTATGCCAACCACACCATCTTCTCCCTCGATGAAGAGATTCCATTCAAAACATATAACAATAATACCGGTTTGGTAAGCGACCCCATTCTTGAACCACACCGTGAGCTTTTTACAAGCACCATGACTAATCTCTTTAGCAAAGCTGCTTATAACAAAAACCCTCTTGGTTTTGCCACTAACGAAACCAGTCTATCAGCGTCTCAGAAGCTTCGCGGCTTTGCACAATGCAGTCCTTATATCAGTAGTAACCTTTGTGAGAATTGCCTAAGTGACGCATATAGTCAGATGCGTCAATGGGACATCACTATAGTATTTTACCCTAGTTGTAATCTCGGATTCCATTTAATTGGATCCCCTTCTCCCACCGGACCACCTTCATCCCCTAAGCAGAATTCCCTATCAGGTGATAAACTCAAGCCGATCATTTACTTATTTAAAGTCTAATACTTCGTACTATGCAACCTATACAAGTACTTGCATATCTTCTGAATTTTTGTCTTAACTTTTTTTTTTTTTTTTTTTTAAACTGAATTTCTGTGCCAGAGCACCATAAGGTCCTCCTCCAGGTGCTATTACCTATCGTCGTATTCTTCTCAATCGTAGGTACCTTTTGGTTTTGGAGGTGGCGGTGTAGGCCATCAGGTAAGCTACAACACTTTTACTAAATTCGTCATTTCAAAGTTACAGAACAAATTAAAATCAGCTGCTGCAACAAGTGCACTCCTCAAAAATATCGAACATATTATTGACACTAGTTACAGGTGGGACTAACAATGCAACAGAAGCTACTGAAGATGGGACTGAAATTGAAGATCCTAGTAGGCTTCAATTGGCGCGATTTACCTATTCTCAGATAAAAGATATGACAAGTGATTTCAATAGAATGCTAGGTGAAGGTGGCTATGGAATCGTTTATTATGGTCGCTTGAGTGACAACCACAGGGAAGTCGCTGTCAAAAAATGATGCCCCTAAGCAATTTAGCAATGAGGTTATTCATTTTTTTACCAACACTATAAATAACTTTCCTGAATACATACATATGGCCTGGTGTTATTATTAAAAGGCAAAATTACAAATTAAATGCTCGCGGCACAGGTTCATGTGCTAGGGAGGATATATCACAAAAACTTGGTTACTCTGATCGGATTCTGCGAAGAAGGAACCAGCAACTTGGCTCTTGTTTACGAGTACTTATCTGGAGGGGACTTGAAAGCTCTTCTTTCAGGTTGTTAATTTTATTATTATTTTAGTTCTAAGTGTTACCGCATCATAATCATATTTCATCATACTAATTAATTAATACCTTATGCTCTTGTTGATCAGGACATTCAGGTGTATTCATAAGCTGGAAAAGGAGACTTGCGATTGCCTTTGATACAGCAAAAGGTGTATATGAAATATAATACTCGTACATCGATTTATATACACATACTTATATTCCCTCTGACCTCTGTTTATAAGTAATAACAATTCTTTGCATAAGAAGATTTTTGCCATGATACTTCAAGATTTATATCGTCGATCTAAATCTATCACTACTCACATCAAGTAGCATGACACAGTAGAAATTTCAATTAAATTTTGACTATGATTCGTAAATGTTTCATAATTGTTTATCAGTAATTAAGATTAGTTGTTAGAGCAATAAACAAGTTCATCCTCTGTATTTACAGGACTGGATTATTTGCATACTGGTTGCAGCCCGCCAATAGTCCATAGAGACGTGAAGCCGGCTAATATACTACTACATCAAGATTATCGCCAGGCAAAAGTAGCTGATTTTGGCTTCTCAAAAATATTTCCAGCTGAATATGTCTCAAAATTAAAGACTCGAGTCATTGGAACTACAGGTTATCTTGATCCCCAGTAAGTACATTATCTTCATCTCTAGTCAATCTAATTGATCGATATGATATCTCAATCCATTCTTCAAGAAGCAGAATATCTATATAGTTGTGAGTCATTGCCTATTTGTTTCGCACCCTTGCAATCGATTTTTGATATAATTTCACACACTTTGTAGTAGGTGTACCTTAAGTTTGATCACATTTGACAACAATCCTGCATTATTGAACTTGAATATAAATTCTGGACATATATAGGAACTTGTGGAGTACACATATTAAGCATGGTGTATCTAGTGTTGAAATAATGATCACTTGATATATTATGTAATTAAGCTAATAGGAAAGGTTATGTTTATGATTATAATGAATACAGGTACCATTTAACCGGACAGGTGAACGAAAAGAGCGACGTTTATAGCTTTGGTGTCCTTCTGCTCGAGCTCATAACAGGGAAATCAGCAATCATAAAAAATACAAACACCCATTTAGTTCAATGGGTAACACCTCTCTTTGAAAGAGGAGACATAGGTAGTATATTGGACCCGAGACTGCAGCTAGAGATAGGCGAAAACTACAACACCATATGGAGAGCAACAGAGCTAGCTAAGAAATGTGTTGAATTAGATGCAGCAGATAGACCAACCATGAGTGACATTGTTATTGAATTAAGGGAGTGCTTGGTTAGGGAGAACGCAGATGTTGAGAGTCCGAGCTCGGCTACTTCAGAGATGATGACAGCCGTGGTTTCAGATGCTTCAATGAGTCCACATCCTCGGTAGTATGGTCACGAGTCCACAAGGGTTGCCAAATTTATCATAGTGATATACTGATATGCTTTAGTATTTTTAGATGTATACGCCTAGCTAGACAGCAGAGAGAGTGACAAAGGGCAAATAATGTCATTCATCTTTGCTTCTTTGGTATCACTGTGATATATTTATGATTTGTAAATCACAATTACTCCCACTCTATGATTAAAGTGGTGCTAAAAAAATAAAATCAATCGTTTATATATGAAAAGGACTTTTTTTTTTTTTTTTTTTTTTTTTTGAAAAATACCTATTAAAAACCCTTTAAATTTGGAAACAACTAGCCTTAAAATTTTATTTCCAAAAAATACCCTTAAAAAAATTGAGTAGCACTATCCACAAACAAATTTTAACAAATGATTCCGTTTATGAGCCCCCACTTCTTTGAAATCCTATTTAAATACGGTAGAAAAAAATTATAACCCTAATACGCTAGTTTGAATGATTAACCATCCTAATTTCAAATTTACATGACCTATTCACCATAATTTCTAGATAAACCAAAATTACTAAAATATATAAAACCTAATTATCCAAATTGATAATACATGATTCGACCCCTAATTCCCCAAAATTATATAAACCCTGATTCCTTAAATTGACAATTTATAATTACCTAATCCTCTAAATTGGAACCCTAAACCCCTAAAGAGATTTAGAAACCTAATCACCTAAATTAAGAACCCTAATTCCCCTAATCGCCCAAATTAAGAACCCTAATTTAACATTAAATGTCTTACCACCAATACTTTTTATTTTCTTTAAAATTAATAGGTAGTGAATGACAATAAAAAAATTTATCACAGGTATAAAAAAAATATTCAATCATAAATTAAGTGTCTATTATAATTTAACTCTATGTCCCTTAAAAAAAAAAATAATAATAATTTAACTCTATGTAATGACCCAGATATTTTTCGGACCTAAATAGTAATTCTTACTTTAAAAATGTATTATATAATTATTATTGATATTATTCGTATAAATTTTTATTAAATCATATAAAAAATAAATAACAAAACTCAATTACTCACTGTGTTGCCTATTATGTATTCATTAAATATATGACTAGGATAAGCAAGTAACGCCACCTAGATTTTGCTTCTTATAGATTTAAGTAAAGTAGTACACATTTTAATTAATCTATCGCATCAAACAAGAATAATAACATATGTCTTTTATTTTTCCATTTTTACTTTTCCGTATTCTCAAATAGGTTTTGTTACGTGTGTATCATGGTTGGATTGTTTTTGCTGTAATTTTACTGCAAAATACTTAGGGTTTGTTCTGTTCACCTTATTTTCACTTATTTTAGATTTAATAAGTTCAGATAATTTTAGTTAAATCTGATAAAGGCGGTCCAAGTTCAAATTACACTTAAAATAAGTTATAATAAGTTCAGGTAAGTTTAGATAAGATTAAATAAGTAAAAATCAAATGAATAATACATACCGTTAGTGTTGAAACTGGTTGCAACCCTAAGCCTTTTTTTTTTTTAAACACCCCTGGCCTCTTTGGTTATTATTTATGTGCAATATATTCTAAAGATACCCTGGCCTCTTTGGTTATTAACAATGAAAAGTAGTGCACGGTTTTTTCATCTAAGAATTTTAATTATTTGATTTATTGTATTTAATAACTTCAGACAAAATTACAAAAGTTTAAATTTAATTTTTTTTTTTTTTTTTACTATAATTTCTTCAGTGAGCAGACGATTCGCTACTCTTCTAGTTAGAAAAGTACTTAAACTACCGGTAATAATACAACTTTATTCATTATAATTGAATTTATTAAATATAAATAAATTGTAAGTATGATATTTCATCCGTTAGTTAAAATCTTTAATGTGAAAAGATAAATTTTTAATTTTTTAAATAATTTAAATCCTAAATAATTATTCATTGTTAATGTTAGCAAAAATAAAATTGATACAAATTAAATCTTTACAATTATGTAAAGTAAATCAATATATTTACTAATAAATGAAATTTTTAGTGAAATTGAACAAAAAATTGTAATTGTATAAAATCAAATCTATGCATTGGAATTTTTTCATCATCTCCAATAATAACGAAAGCCATCTATATAATAAGTATACAACATCATATCAAATCGTGTGCCATTTGCCTTAGCTTCTTCTTACAATTTTTTAAATTAATTTGAAATAGTTGCATTAAATATATGTATAAAAGCTAAAAAATTAACTTGAATATATAGTTGCATCAAATCGAGTACTTTACAAATTAATTTCAACCACATATGCTTGACAATGCTCAACATAAAATTTCTTAGTAACTAAACTAAGCTAGTCAACAATTAGCTAGCTTCCACATTGTGATATTTTGTCTACAATGTCGTGGAGAATATACATCCATTACATCTTTAATCAAAAGTAGTATGATATGAATTGCATCAATGAGATCAAGACCACTAATTGCAATTAAAATGCGGTCCATCCCTGTGTTTATTCATGCATGGAACTTTTATTAAATCAATATAATGACAATATAATGACAAAAATCAAGGTAAACGATTGGAAAGTATCTAAAGAAGTAAACTTTTTCTTCAATCTATTTTGGATGAAAGTGTTGAACAAAGCTGGTGTTAATTGAGGCATGAAGTAATCACCCTATAATTAAAAATAAGAAATTAAGTTATTTCAATAACTTGATTAAGGCACTTAAATTACAAATTTTATTTATTTTTAATAAAATTAATTAATAAAAAAACTAAAGATGTTTATAAAAAACAATATAATAAATGTAAATTAAACAATTTATAAAAAATAAAAATAAAATAAAAATAAAATACCTCCTCTTTCATTAGGACCATATCCAAACTTTTAAGCTATGTTGTTTACAAAAATTTAGTACGTCAAATAGCGAGAAACTTGTATTTTGATTTTCCAATCATTTTTGCTCGAATTTAATTCTCTAATTAAATTAGATTTGCATGTAAAAACAAAATTCAGTAAACAAAACATAAACAGATAATCGTTAAGTATCCCAAATAAATACAATGTAAGTACTAATTACAAATACAAATTTAAACATAGGATTTTAAAAATTACCCGGACATTAATGACCTAAAACTAACATAAAATTACTAACACAAAATTCGCTTGATGGGGTTTTGTATTGATACAAATTTTGTTGGTGTCGTATGATGCGTTAGATGTGCATGTAAAAACAAAATTTAGTAAATAAAACATAAACATATAATCATTAAGTATCCCAAATTAACACAATGTAAGTAATAATTACAAATACAAATTAAACATAGGATTTTAGAAATTAAGCTAAAAATTACCCAACCATTGACGACCAAAAACTAACACAAAATTACTAATACAAAATTCACTTGATGGGGTTTTATATTGATACGAAATTTTGTTTGTGTCGTATGATGTGTCAATTTATAATGGTAGGTATCACAAATTTTGATTTAATTATAATTAACGAACAATTTTTATTTCTTATCATAAATACTATTAAAATTTATCTTGTAAAGATAAGTATCAAACTTTATTATAATCGTTTATCATTTGAATATTTTTTATTTATTTTATTGGGTTATCATGAAGTCATATTCTCATTCCAAGTATATTTACATGTACTCATAAATTATCATATTATAGTTAAGTATTTTTCTATTTGAATCCACCATATTTCTCCACCATATCATAAATTAAAAAAAAATTATATTTGAACCCACCATATTTCTCCACCAAGTTTAGTTACGTGGAGATAATTATCACCATATCATAAATTTAAAAAAAAAATTAATGTTTGAACCCACCATATTTCTCCACCAAGTACAATTACTTGGAGATAATTTTTGAATAGTAGGATATTTTCATAATTTAAACCCAATTAAATATCTTTTTGGAGATTTATCTTTTCCTATATTTTTTTAGACTTCTTATACTCGTAGTATTCATTTAATGAATTTATCTTTTCCTATGTTTTTACTTTATTTTTTTTCATTAAAATAATTTAATTGTGGATTATAATCTACGTGACATTAAAATTTTAGATATATCAAATCTAATTCGTTACTTTTATCTAGGTGGCAACATAATTTTTTAATTCAAAAATAAAATACAAATCTTTTTTCTTATTGGTCGAAATAATACCTTTTCTTACGTGGCGCTCCGAATGCTCTCCAAAAATGCCTACTTTATTTATATATATTAGATTAGATTAGATTTTTTTTTTATATATATATTTTTTTTTAAGAAAACCTAAACTAAGATTAAAATTAAAAAAAAAATATGTCGCAAAAAAAAAAAAAAAAAAAAAGTATCACGTGGACGGTTGAGATTGAGATCCACGGAAGACAGATGAGTCTCAGCAACACACAATCACAACAGAGTCCACCAAAAACCCTAATAATCCCCCATTTCTTTCGACATTTCATCGCCCCCAAACACAAACTTGAGGTAAGTCGGAGCAGCGGCGACAACAGCAGCACCACCAACAACAACAATGGTGATTCTCTCTTTCTCTCTCCTCCCTCTTAATTCCGCCATTGTTGTTTCTTATCTCTAACTCAGAGCTCTGTGTTGAATTACAGGGTATCGATTTGAAGGCAGGAGGTAAGTCGAAGAAGACAAAGAGAACAGCTCCTAAATCCAACGATGTCTACCTTAAACTCCTCGTTAAGCTCTACAGGTTCCTCGTTCGTAGAACTGGTAGCAGCTTCAACGCCGTCGTTTTGAAGAGGCTTTTCATGTCTAAGACTAACAAAGCTCCCCTTGCTCTTTCTCGTCTCATCAAGTACATGAATGGGAAGGTGATTTTCTCTCTCCTTTGACTGATATTTTGACTGAATTTGTGTGTTTTCTTGGGTTTTTGAAATTTTGAATGTGGGGTTGAATTGGGTTTAGGAGGACAAGGTTGCGGTGATAGTGGGGACAGTGACTGATGATATTCGAGTGTACGAGGTTCCGGCATTGAAGGTGACTGCTTTGAGGTTTACTGAGACTGCTAGAGCAAGGATTGAGAAGGCTGGTGGTGAATGTCTTACTTTTGATCAGCTTGCTCTTAGGGCCCCTCTTGGACAGAACACTGTATGTTGCTCACTCCTTATTAATCAACTTTCGTTTCGATTCTTGATTGTTTCTGTTTGATGCATTTGATGTCATTGATATGTTTCTGTTTGATGTTTTGTTTTGTTTTGTGTAATTGATTGTTTGTCATGAGAATTAGGTTTGATATGCGGGGTGGAATTTAGCTGTTTACTGTCCTGAGTTAATCACATTTTGCTGATGGGCTTCTGCCTTTTTGTTATGCGTAAGAATGATTTTGTGTTTGGTGTGGGGGTCGTCTGATGAAGGATAGATAGTCGAATTTGATATCGATTATTGACCATATTGTATGATATTTTTTTTTTTGTATGTGAGCTCAATTAAGATAGGAGATTTTGATTTTCTTTTGTGGGCATATTGGCTCATAATTCAGCTGTTTCCAGAATTTACTTTAGGTCTTTGGCCTTCTTGGCATGTTTCAAAATAGCTTCTGATCAGAATTCAGCTAGGTAGACATGACTGATTCACCTATTTTTATGTTGCGACTTGTATATATCTATGATTTGTGTGCATTTATTAAGGAAAGATGCATTCATATTAAGGTTAAGGGTTGTAACCCAATCATCCTCAGATTGAATAGACAATGTAGTATAAGGTGCATTAGTTGGCAACTTGGCGTTTGGGCAACCAATTGTACTTAATGACATTCTAGGTTATGATTTTTCCTTGGCGCTAGCATCAGGTCACACTGCAATGTCTGCAAGTGAGAATTGTATTAAGAAATAGCTTGCTGGTTTAGTAAAGGGAGAGAGAGGATCGGTTTCCTGTGACTGCCAAGATTATGTGGGATTGCTTACACCTTGTTGACATCAATCAGTTGTGCAGCTCTGCTTGAACTATCTATTCCTTCCGAATTCAACCATTTCCATCCTAAGCTATAAACATGGTAGACGTGAGTGGAGTTCTCTTGCCATTTGTTAGACATATTCAACACTGTAATTCATTCCATAGAAGTTTAATCAGTGTTACAAGGTTCGCAAGACGTTGGCCCGAACCGCGACCGGAACATGGTACAGACGCGACTCAGGTCGCTGGAGTCCGCGAACCGATTTAATAGCTTGAAAGCTGAACTTTTCTTCCGTAGATCTGTGTATGTAAGGATTTAGTTTCATATTTATGCGATTTTAGATTAAAAATTTGTTGATATATGAAGATTATGGTAGAGGATGAAAGTTTTTTTTTTTTTTTTTTTTTTTTTTATCTACTATTTAGTCTATTTTTATGTAGTATGGCGGCTAGAGTTTATTATTGTTGAATGGGCTTTGAGCCTTTGACCTATAACAATAATTTGGGCCTATTCTATTGGTTAATAAAAAAATTACTTAAAATTATAATGTTAATTATTTATTTCGTACCCAATTGTTCCGGATTCACAAAGAGTAACGTTTCACGTATCCGTTTCCGTACCACGCTTCGAATCAAACCCCGTACCATGTAACTTTGAGTTTAATACCTTATGTGCACCCTTTATTCAAAGCTATTAACCAATCAAGCAACCTATGTGCTTCATGAGTTGAGATGTGTGTGTCACTATATCAAAACAATCCCAACCAACATTTTCTCCTCTTTTGTTTGATTCAAAATTGAATAACATATTGTTTGAATTAGTACGAATCCTGAATTTTCCAAATAATGCAATTCTTGCAAAACTATGTGTTGTTTCCATGTGTGTGCCTCTGCCTCATGCTTTCCCTTGCCTCTTTGTTTTTAAAGATGCTTTGTGATACCTCTACCTTACCTTTTTCTAAAAACAGTTCTTTTGGTTGTCAAACCCTAAGCTGCCCGTTAGTGTAGGCCATGTAGTGGACGTGGAAGAGAAGTGATTTATGGGAGATTTGTTTGAAATAATTCTTCTTTTCCCTATTATGCTAAAACAAAGGACGGAAGTAGTCCTACGCAAACTTAATCCACACTTTCGATCATTGATAAAATATACTTCGTATATAACATCTTACGTCTCTTGTCACATAGTATTTGAATAGTAGTCAATGAAAGATGTTTTTAAAACTGTTTCACTCTGTAAAGTTGCACTGTGGTGACAAAATGTAAGTTATGTTCTTATGTAACAGTCATGGATCAAGTTCATAGCAACTGCTTATTGTAGATTCCGTGATTTTCATATTTAAATGTGCGCATAGTGCAGACCATGCTAAGAGTTTAGTTGTGCTAAAGTCCAGATGCTGGGTATTGTTTGTTGGATTGATGTGTGCTAAAGTTTAATGTTGGATATAGTTTGTTGGATTGATGTGTGCAAATGTATCTGATGTATTAAAGATACAAAGATGCATGAATTTCTTTATGGCTCTGTCATTATAATAATTCACACTATGGTTGCATGTCCTGCTCACTTCTGAGACTTGGTTTGCCTTGGGATACATTTTTTATTAGCCCCCTTTTGAAATACTGTAGTTCTGGTGGTCTATGTAGCATGGCGGGGCCTTATGCAATGCAAAGGCACCTGGGCTATTCCTGCAGTTTTTTTAGATGAATTGATACGGGGATAAGCTCTGGTTGCTTTCTGAATATAGGGACTTGACACCTATGTGTTTGAGTGAGATTATAATTTCTTGTTTTGTTTGCAGGTTCTTCTCAGAGGGCCAAAGAATGCCAGAGAAGCAGTTAAGCACTTTGGCAAAGCTCCTGGTGTTCCACACAGTCACACTAAGCCATACGTGCGATCAGAGGGTAGGAAGTTTGAGAAAGCTAGAGGCAGGAGGAACAGCAGGGGATACAGGAATTAAGTTATTCACCTTGTTCTTAAAGCTCTTTTGTCTCCAGTTGCAGCTATTCGAGTTTTGCTGGAGTTAGTAGCTATCATTGACAAGATTTAATTTTTATCACTCTTATTTTTATATCTACTGTGATTTTACTCTTTTTTTTGGTTATTGTAGTTCTGTTTATGAAATATCATGCAAGGCATTTTATTTTGAGACAGTCTTTTATCCCTTTTGTTTCCGTTTACTTTGCTGCTTTATTGCCTTGATTGGCTAACGTGAGGTGTTAATAGCTGATTAGCCCGAGCTGCTATTTTTCGAAATTTGAATTATAGTTGCAGATGGCATTGGGATAATGGACAGGATAAGATGGGTAAAGGGAGTTAAAGCAGGAAAGGTTTTGAGGTTTCATTTGAGGGCTAAATTTTTTCTTCAAATTTCGTATTTATTATGACTGGTAATTTTTAACTGTATTACTGCTCATGTTACTGAATTCAACAGTGCCATTGCAGATCATGCTTCCCTCCTCCCCAGAGTCCCCACGTTAGTCTCTGCATTTCTGTATCATCTCACACACAGTTCTTCATTGTATGATCTGAGCATCATCAATCTACTTTGTCCCATTCTCTTACACATCATAAATTTCCTCCTATTTATCCAAACTCTAAGAAGTGACTAGGTGAGCTCAAGTAGCTTTCTTATCTTCTGTATGTGGTTCAGTACACCATGTATACTACTAGTATGTTATGGCTTATGGGTGAAAGGAGAGGCGAAGTAGAGATGAATGTATTGTTGCAGCTGTACTGTTACCTATGATGTTGCTTTTTCGACAATGGTCTGTTGTGGTGTTTTTTTGGCAGTGGTGTTCTCTCAGTGATGGTGATGTACTGGACTATAGATGTTGATGGCAGTGAAGGAGTGCAGTAGTTTGTGCTGGCAGGTGGGAGGTGATTATTGGGGATGTGATGAGAAAGGGGTTGGAAGAATAACGCCTAAAACTGCATTCTGTTTTAATCCTTTCAGAACGTTTACTGCATTTTAACCACCACGAAATTCCAGAATTTGTTTTTATAAGCTTTACATGGAAGTCGAGTGCAGAACTACTTAGGCTTGTGGCTTTGGGCCAGTGACGTATTTAAAACCCTGGAGGTTTCTCTCTAATGATTTACCTATTGTTTTAGCAGATTTAAAGTTCTTCATTTGGAAAACTAGTACTTAATACGAAGTATAGACTATAGAGTAAATTTTTGAATGCAATACTTAGGCTAATACAGTTTTGCATCGACTCAACAAGAACAAGAGGATGGTGCTCCCAAACATGCGCATGTGTGGAGGGCATATATGCCAGCTGCAGACATCCTGTGTGTGTTGTTGGAATTAAATGCTAAGAAAAGTTTTTTGTTGTTTTGGAGGAAAACCCTTGTCCCACATAGTGGGATAAGGAAGGATTTACTTGTTTATATATTGGAGGAAAGGTGTTTTGTCCCACATTGGTGGGAGAAGTATATTTTACATGGTTTAAATGTGAATGTTTATCCTTTGATGTTTGAAGTGTTTTCCCTATTGTTGTGGGTTAAAAAGGGGCGTCCCAACACGCATGTGATGTGGTTTGGTGTGGTTGTTGATATTCCTCCACGATTATTTGCGTGGGCTTGATTATCTCGGTAGTTACAGCTGAGCATTTTTGTGAGTTCCTAATCTCTCTTTTTGAGTGCATATTAAGGGAGATCGCTGTGTTAAATCTTGGGGGGCAACTCCATCTCCGATTGCACCATAATGGGAGCGAATTTTGCTTCTAAAACAGTGTTCCTAACACGTCACAGCATTATACATACATTAAACAAATTCAGCCAACATTTCAATTTTTTTTTTGATTTTTCAGTTTTCCAACCTACATCTATCTGTCTGGTATGGTAGCTGGCATAGGCGCGGAGAGCTCATTCTTGGAGCTGTGCATGCAATAACTTGCATTGTGACAGTGGCAATGCTATTACAATCAAAGACATTTGTATAAGGATGGATGTAAACACAAACTTAATATACCATATAGGACTAATAGTAGTGACCACTTAGACCAGTAGAATGAATAAATTAAACTACACATTTTTACATTAGTACTGCAAATCTACAATAAGAGTACTCTACTCTAGTGTACAAGAACATAACATTGAACCTAGAGTTTCTTATTGTTTAGGAGAAAACACACGACGATAAAAAGGTTCAGAAGAACCATCAACCATACTACATTTAAACAAAGGATTTCGTACATACCACCCCGTACATAAGAAACACAAGAGCCAAGATTAAAGATTAAAACTTGCTGAAGAACTCAATTATGTGCTCATTGACTTCCTTAGTTCTCTCTTGGTTGATGAAGTGACCAACTCCTTCCAAAACCACTACTTCCTCGAGCAAAGGCACGTCTTTCTTGAACCCTCCTTTGTGCACATATTCCTTTACCCCGATCATATTATACACCATGTCTAAGTCTCCCACGACTAGCTTCGCTGGTACCTTCACCTGCACGCCTGTCCAAGGCGCTGTCAGCTCCCAGTTCCTGCATCAAATATCAATCAAATTAATCAGATATAATAAACTTTACGTAGTCAAGTCTCACTTTCTATTTTTTGACAATATTTTGTATCTTCAAGAAACTATAATACTCCCTCTGTTCTCAAATGTGCGATTAAATAGAAAACATTAATCGAGTTTGAGGTCACCATACCAGTCCAAATTCCGGTAGTGATTTAAAGGACCGGTGAAGCCGTTACGTTCATATTTGGAGGCATAGTAGTTGATATCTTCCTCAGATAGCCAAGAAGGCAAGGTTATAGAATTATCAGGGTAGTCACCAAAAGCTTTTCCTTTGGGCAGCATTGGTGCACCTGGATCACGTGAAGTCAGGATTTTCTTCAGGACATGCTTCACACCATATTCTTTTATTTCAGCTTCAATATCTCCAGGTTCCTACAAATTTAGACAATGTTATACTACTACGAAAATCCTCTCAATTAAAAAGATACGACGAAAATTTAGATTTTACTTAGAACAAATTATACTTGTTGCATAACTTATTGCATGTTTAACGTCGTGAACATATAATTAAGGGTGAACATGCAATAAAAGATAGAGATAACTTATTGCATTTTAACGTCGTTAACATATAATTAAAAGTGAACATGCTACATGTCGCCTTATGTTTAATGAAAATTCTAATGTAATCTTATGACTTTTGACTATTATAATTTTTTTAAAATGGACGGCTGAGATTGTTTGTTTTTTTTTTATTTATCTTTAATTAGTAATTTTAATTTAAAATTATTTTTTTAATTATTATATATATATATATATATTTTTTATTTCCAGAATTTTGAAAATATTAAAAATAATTTCTGGAAGATAAAAATATATTTAAAATAATTAAAAAATTATTTTTAATTAAAAATACTAATTAAAAATAAATAAATGAAATAAATAATCTCAACCGTCCATTTTAAAAAATTGTGCTAGTCAAAATCCATAAGACTACATCAAGATCATTGTTTAATGCTTCGTATTGAGCTCGTAATACATTAGAATCATAAATATCTTAAACTCGTTATGAGCTCTTTAATACTTCGTATTGTACTTTTTTATATGAAAGTATTCCATTGAAATGTTTTACGGATTTGTATTTGTATGATTATAAGTAATCATTTTATTCAAGAAGAATGTAAGTTTATAAACTTAAAACCAAATTATTGAGACTTATTTATATATTTATTATTTTTAATATAAAAAGCCGAATTGAGACTTGGACAGCACATATGGATGAATGTTCATCATATTAGTCATAAACCGTATGCAATGAATGCAAAACACATAAAATTCAATAATCATCCTGCATACAACTTGCAATTCGAAGATAATAATTCAAATTAGACGTTCACACACACCTAAATAGCTAAATGCATAGGCTTAAACACTCACCAAAATGTATTTAATGCAAATATAATTAGAATATATGCAAAACTAATAATGAAACAAAGATAAAACTATTAAACATAAATCAATCATTACAAAATATGATTTTGTCATGCATTTAAACTGATTTTATTATATGCTTTTAATTCTTATAATTCTTATATGTTTGCAACCCCGATCTTATAATTGCATACATTATGAACATTTTGAAAAGTATATAATTTTAGGAAATTAAATGAGTAAATCGCATATATTACGACCGTTTTTAAAAGTATATAATATTAGGAAATTAAATGAGTAAGGTGGAGTAGTTCAGAGTAGTTAATTGTTGAGATCAAGTGGGTTGACATTTTTGTAAAAATAATATTGACCCCAAATATGAGGTACAAATGCTTTAAGAAAATATTTTACTTTATTTAAAGAAGGAAGATTTTTTTGGTCTGAGTATGCAATAAAGAAGTTGGTTGTATTATTTACAGAGGTTACAGTATTTACTTATACAGCAGAATAAATACATAGTCAGGACTCAACAATTGAACCAGTGGTCAAACCTATTTATTTGGTCAAGTTCAAAATTACAATTCAAAGACAGCTATTATAACAGGGGTAATTCAATCAAACTTTGTTTTCTATCCATTTCGTTTTTATTGTCCTACTAGAAAACTTTTTTTCGATAAATAAGTACTTCGTATATAATAAGGAAAAATATACTTTGTTTGAGTGGTCAAATTTCTTATATAATGCTTAGTGAAAACAAAGTCTCTCTCAAAATTAAGTTTGCTTTTTGTTATAAAAGTATTAATCATCATGTCAATGAAAAAAAAAAAAAAAAAATCATTGACTATTATACAAGGTTACTTACTTTTGGAGACAACTTTAATTTTGTAGGAATTAGTTTGACAAACGCTTTAACTTAAGAATCATTTTATTCCTACCTTCTGTCCTATTGTCTCAATTTTCTTCTTGATTTGCATGCATGATTCCTATACTATTTCTCTACGTTATTTCCTTGTCACATGTTAAAGGGTAAACTACCTATCAACTCAATACAACTCTTTAAAAAAAGTTAAGTTAGATTATACGACAAACATTAAGGAACGTAGCGAATAATTCATAAAAACCGACATTGCAATTGCTATTGAGCTGCCTTGGTTGGCATGCATTGATAGCACATTAGCACGCATGACATAATCTTACTCTAAATGGGGTTGAAGTAGCAGAGATGGAGCCCATGCAACGCAGTTCAAGTTTCACGGATTGAACCGGTTGCACCAAATTGCCTAATGTCATTAATATCACATTCATGAACTAGCTTCATATATATGGGACATCACCCGAAATGATTCTGCACTTGGCTCCCCCACCTCTCTTGAATATTTATAATCATAAAACAAGTAATTCGTATGCAGTAATAGTGTATTGATATTTTACGTAAAAATTTAATATATTTCCTAGATAATATAGGATAGAAGTAGGACCACGAATTTTCAAATAAAAGTTGAAGTATCAATTAATGGAAAATTCAACATGCGGTTTGAATAACCAAATAGTACATGGGATAGTAAGATAACAATTTTTACCACTTTTGTTTCAAAGGAATGGTGTATACATTTAATAAAGATTATTGATTATTGAAGCAAGAATACAAGAAAGAAATAATTACAATCAATCATAAGTAGCATGTTAGTCATTTAGCCTTTACTACGATTGAAAAGTGGATGTATGCTAAAGCCTTAAAGGGAGTTTGTTGTTAGCCAATATTTGGTGGAAGTTAAAGTGGTAGCAATGTAGCATACAAATAGCCATGATATTTAGATGTTAAAAAGTCTTATGCATCACCATCTCATGGTTGGCACCTGGCAACATTATTGTGGTTTCTCTATCTTTTTATATTTTAATATTCGATAATACAGTTCGGTTTTATGAGATAAGTGGCCACTATACACTAATATTGCCTAGCTAGTTAATGTGTGGTTCATTCAATTAAGTGAACGATTTAGAAAGTTCATATAAAAGCTTATTTTAGAAATATATCAATTGACAAAGACTAAGTCCATGGGACCACTTAATCGAACAAACTAGTTGACATTAAAATGTATATTGTTTTAAAAAGGCAGAATAGAAAACGTATGTTGATTGCTACTTAGCCTGTAAAGTCGTCTTTTTTTTTTTTCTTATGTCTTGTTACGAACTTAGCTGGTAAAGTTGTTTTTTCTTATGTCTCGTTACAAACTTAGCTGGAAAAGTCGAGAACACAATAAGGTATTAGTGAGCTTAGCTAGTCAAGTTACTTATCTTTAAACTTCATGAATAAAAAAATAACAATTAAGCAAATTAGAAGGAAGCTAAGTAAAAGAGAAAAAGGGAGAGAATTAACCTGAAATCTGCACATATAGTAATCATCACCCAAAAAAGCTCTGAGAGTTTGAATGGGCTTCAACTTAGGGTTCCTAGGCCGAAACGGAACCGAAAGAGAGACAAAAGCCTTAATCCTATCGGGCCTAAACATGCAAAGATACCAGCCCACCATAGCACCCATATCATGGGCCACAAGCAAGACTTGATCCACATCAAGTAGATCAAGAAGCCCAATAAGATCCCCAACTAAATGAAAGCAAGTATAATTTGAACTACAAGGTGGAATATCAGAATCACCAAAACCCCTTAGATCTGGGGCAATTGCATGGTAACCGTTGGATGCTAGGGCAGTAATCTGGTTTCTCCAAGAGTACCATAACTCTGGAAAACCATGAAGAAGTAGTACAACTGGTCCTTCACCTTTTTCAGCAAAATGCATGTTTATGCCATTTACTTGGACCGTCGTATGTTTGATCTCATCGAATGTTTTTCCCATTTTGATTGACTGTGTATGTTTGCGATAAATTGCCTAAATGATAAGAGGGATGACTTGTTGTGTAATATTATAAGGGTTCTATGTAACGTTGGTGTTATGTATATTTGATCATATAAGTGAGAAAGGTGGTGGAAATAGATAGGAGCTAGTAGTAGTGTACTTGGGGAAAGTTGTGGAAAAAAAAAGGTTAATATTAATTTATGAAAAGCATTTATGAGAAAAGTTGGGAGTAGTATGATTTCTTGTGAGTAGTGATCTGAAAGCTATGGATGTTATTCTTATATATAGTGCAGTATAAAGACCGGTGGGAGCATGGGGAGATATCTTCATAAATGGTGCAAATTTCTTGTGATTATGGCAAAGTCCAACCAATATTTAAATTTTGTTTACTTTATACGAAGTATTAATTAAACATTTCCCCAAGGGAAATCATTGGGATGGAATCCATAGTTTTTTTTGCTAAGGTAACTAAACTCGGTTATGTAATCCAGAGCTTATTATACCTTGACTAATCTGGGTTTAAATAGGGACATATTTTGAGTATCAGAATACTCTTATAGCAAGTGGAGGTCAGATATCTGAAATCGAGGCCTTTGGTTAAAGTGGTCAAAACAATAGATTTTTGGCCAAACTCATATTATATCAGTTGGAATGAACTATCCAAGTACATCTTGCCGATTCCAATACATATGTCTCTATGTTTAGTATATACACATAGCAAAAAAATGACCTTGCATGGACGCAAATTCGATACGAAAAGACAAAATTAGAAAGTTAATTAAAGCAAATTAAAACTTGAAATTAACCTAAATAACCTAAACTTGAGCCAAAGTTAAACTCAAATATCGACTAAAATATCATCATCATTTTCTTCATCATCATTGTTTGATTATGGAAAATTCACCCAAGGCTCACACAAATAATTAGGTGATTTACTTTGTTCCAATGATTCAATTTATTGTTTGGGAAGAATTATAGTAACCTAGAGTTGTTAGCTGCCATATGTGGGACATATCCAGAAAAAGTCATGTCATGCCAAATTTATGTTGATCTTTCATGAACGAATCCCATATACAACTTGGTCAAGTATCTTATTAATGAGCTCCTTAATTTTTTTATATACGAAGTAATTTTTTTGCAAATTGGTAAAAAATTAACGTGTTGTTATATACGGAGTAATTTTTTTGCAAATTGGTAAAAAATTATCGTGTTGGCTAGTTGACTAATGTCAAATCTTAAAAATAATGTCCATACACATTCTATGCCCCATGCCGACATACCTTTTGTGCCTTATTGAGAAGTGATACGCTCATCATGCCGATTTGGCTAGGTACAAGTCATGCTTATACGAGACTCTCGTGCAGGCTCAGTCTATGCCTAGCACTATAGCTACTCACTAAGTAATCTACTCCATATAACCACATAAAGTCACGTAAAAAAGCAATAAAATGTACGAGTGATGATATTTAGATGAATAACACACCTTTTTGTTAAAATGAATCACTTATTAATTAATGTTAGCTATCAGCCCACTGTACGTTATATGGGTAAACTAACCAAGGTTGTTTTCCCCTGAATTTTCTGCACCCACTTAATTCCTTAAATTAGGTCGGTAGGATTTAGTGAAAATGAGGCCCTTCTAAATTGCAAAAAAAAAAAAAAAAAAAAAAAAAAAAAAAAAAAAAAAAAAGAAAACTGATAAGAATTTAATTGAAGGCTCATATTCACAAGAAATTACAACCACACAACACACGTAAACTTTGGTCAACCACTGATCGTATTAAAAGTATACTTTAATTATTGCTGAGTTTCTGACTGCTGCTGATTTATTTATTTATTTTATTTTATATTTTGACAACTGTTGAATCTTCATGCAAAATTATTATCATCACGCAATGCAAAATTATTTATTTGTTCATTTATATTATCTAATCTCATTTTTAAACTTCATCATATGAGTCTGTGTTGTATTGTAAGTAAAAGAAAAAACGGATATATATATATATATATATACTCCCTCCGTCTACGATTATCTGCATCAAACATCTTTTTTGCGGACTTCTAGGCAAAAATTTTAGTGGAGTTTAATTAAGTTTAGGTGGGTTTAATTAAGTGGGAAAAGGGAGGGAAAGAAGTGGTCCCTTATTTTTTTGTTTTTGGGTGAGTTAAAATGAGTGGGGAAAAAGGTGGAAAATTGAGGGCCCCTTTTATGAGTGAAAAAAAGGTGGAAAATTGAGTGTAATTAAAAGATGTTAAATAAAGTTACAAAATAAAAGTAAGGTAAGATGGTCTTTTCTTTAAAATTTACTAAAAGAGGAAAGAAAAAAAATTTGTAGCACATAATAGAGAGCACCCATTTATGACAAATATTGCCGATAATTTTGGACGGAGGGAGTATATTATACAAATATTATTGTTTTTCTCTTTGACACCTGTTGAATCTTCATGCAAAATTATTAGTATGATGCAGTGCAAGTTAATGTGCATGTGTTTATAAAAGAAAATTTATGAGAAGAGGAGGTTATTAGGTGCACTTGCTACTGTGCACTGATAATAATGAGTTGACTCTCATTCCTTCAACCCTACCTGACTTTAAGGGGTTGGCTTAGCTTCTATGTTTCTTTGTCTTCAAGATGGTGACATTATTAATAACAATAGAAATGTCTAATCTTATACTCTATTTGGATGCCACAAATGAAGAATCTAGAATTTAGGAGCATGTATAACTCCCTTGGATCCTTCTCATTCGTCTCAGATCATATTAATTTTTGGTCTCACAAACAGAATTCAAATAGGAAGAACAAAAATAATTGGAAGGAGTAGTAGCCTAGTTGAGAACAACTCGCTCTCCGTCATCTTTCATCTTGGCCTCTTGGGGATCAGACTAGGGTTCAATTCTCATCTTACGGCGGACCTTGGTTCAGATGTACTCAAGGCTCTGGTCTCTGCTACAGGGTGCTTGGAGATAAGAAACTAGCTACTCTATAGTTACCTTCGTTTCATAATGTTCTAAATTTGAGGATGAGATTGCATTACTATGAATATTATCATATTATTAAGATGGTACTCTGATTATTAAATTATAATTAAATTCATTATTTTATTCCTATAATTATAATTTATAAACAACAACTAAACAAGTTGTTATTAAAAAAAAAGTAAATATAGATGATGAGACATATATAAAATAATTTTAATAACATAAAATATGAAGCATTAATTAATTATTTTTACTTTTTCAGAGGTTATACGAGTATTATTATCACGTCATCATCAAAGCCACACTTTTAGCTAGCTAGCAAGTAGCAAATATTTCTAACAATTTGGTGGATGGAGAATTAGGACGGGTAATTATAATGTCCGTAACAATACTACACTATTTTCTTCCTTTTCACTCTAAGTCACCCTTCAGCTATCAGCAATAATTCATTAAGATTAGACGTTGAAATAATGGCGATTTCAATGCAACACAAGAAAATAATAATAGGATTAGGTGTATAAGGAGTAACTTATTATTTTTATTATTATTTATTACGAAGTATTATTATTATTATTATTATTATTATTATTATTATTATTATTATTGTTATCCGAATAATTTATAACGGCATTATAAATACAAATTAAAGGTTAGGTATATGGATATGGAGTAATAAAGCCTTTAGTTTTCGCTACTTGGGTAAGACTTTTTTTGATGATTAGTATGCGTACTCTTGGTTCATCAACCTATATTTGTAGGTTTATTAATCTTTAAGTGTGGTTAGCGATATGCATTGTGATTAATTAATTCAGAATAAATGTCTTTTGAAATAATGCATGTATATTAAGACGATGGAAGTAATTGCATAGGAAAATTTGGCAAACAGTGATGTTAGTATGCTAGTACATCATAAGTATTTTATTAAATAACATTATATTGATTTGATTACTTGATCGACAAAGAATAATGTTGCATTTAATTTATCAATACATAAACAGTTTGATAATTGAAATTTTGAATGGCTTGTCATTTTAAATGTGTGATGATCTTGATTGCAATTGAGTGGTCATATAATGATGCCATTACTCCTTTTCTCCCTTGAGAATATGTAGGCATGTAGTTACTTCATTTAATACATTTTCTAAATTGATAATAATCTTTTTCTACTATTAAAAAGAAATTGATCTTGTTGTTTGTTTTTTAGCTCTTCTTGTCAATTATTTATAGATTGGTATTATATATATTTGATTCAACTTGAATATTGATATTTTCCTGTTTTCCCTTTTGATTCCTTATACATAGGCTTGAGAGTTGTATATACTTTCCTTTGTCTCAAAATACTTGTCTCATAGCGTTTTGCACAAGATTTGTACAAGTAAAAATGTAGACAATATATATATATATATGCTAAATAAAATCGAGTATGTAGAGGTTAACGGGCCTAACGCCTATGCTCATGCGTGTCAATGTATCGTGTTAAGAACTAAATAAAAAGAGATAATATATAAAGACCGAAAGATTGGGATACGAATTTCTATAAATGTAATTATTCATGAGTAAAATTGATCCTTAAATAATGTATGGGGCATGTAGTTTGAGGAGTACAATCCTCATGGTAGGGCTCATAAAGAGGACAACGAAGGCTTAAGTAAAGAAAAAAGTGAAAGATAAATAAATGTGAAATTTGACTATTAAGAATAATTTAAAAGAGATTTAAAGCTCTGTTACACATCAGTTGAAAACTACTTGTATTACTTACTACTTAGTGTACATGTCTTTTTAGTGTATTACGGAGTATGTCATTAAAATGTACAATATCGATTTAATATGTTGGACTATTTTCAGATTTCGCCAATGGATAAAATTCTTGCATCAATTAATGATCATTTATGATCATGGATTAGTGGCATGAAAATTGTTCAATATGCAACGATCATGACTTTACTAAAGTGAAGGATTTATTGAATTTAACTGTAATGCATTTTTTTTTTTTTGAAAAAAAAGAATTTTTAGATAAGTAAGCAAATTGCATACAAGTCGTCAAGTCCTACCAGAATAAGGGGATTATCTTCATCAAAATGCACGTAGCGAGAATTGAACCTCCAACCTTTAGAATAGAAAATGTTCACCTTTTCAAAAAAGCTAAGCTTAGCTTGGTAACTTTTATCAATGAATCAATTTTGTTATTTTCTCTATAAAAAAGAGGGAATCCCCATTTATCTTGATGATAAACAAAACTTGTTTATCTAATGGCAAGATTGTAATATATTTGCTTTGGAATTTATGCTACTAATTTAATATTATATTTTTTTTATTTTGTGCTTTCCAGCTGGGATAACGGAGATTATCTTATTCTTCCTCCTTGCTTCTTCATATATGCTACTACTCCTTTCTAATTGCAGTAAACCATGTCCACCACCATATACATACTAGAAGCTTCATCTTCTTCGTTCTCGATCCTCACACGCCTTATGCCAACACCACCGCTTCCGACATCCCCACCACCATTTCTAACGGCTTTGCCGTCAAATTAAACGAAAACCATAAGAAAAAGGGAGAAATGAAGGGTATGGTGAACCCCAAAGAGTAGGGGTGACGGGCTCCTCCATTGATGCAACCTTTAAGCTTGAATTCTCCATTAAAGTTTCTAAAATCTCCATTGAACCTCTTCAAATCCACCGACATCTCCATTAACGCCGTTAATCTATGCTTAATTGTGAACTTATTTTATACATAAAATCACAAAATTACCCATATTTAAATGTGTAAATTGACTATTATACCCTCATGATAAACATATATTGTTTATCATGAAGATAAATTTGTATTTTCTCCACTATAAAAAATTGAAAAATGGATATTGTAATAAACTCTATCACCCTAATTATAATTCCCCTTTCTGATGAATCAAGTTTTGTACAAACTTTGAAGTTTATCACAATACAAGGAAGGGGGAAAGCGAACAACTACAACTAAGGGAAGGTAAAGAAAGGGGCAAGAATCGAAGAACGGAGGTAACTGGAGGAGGGGGCAACGGATCACGGATCGAGAAAGGAGGTCTATTGGAAATGAATCAATTTTCAGGTTATAATCTTATGTGTGATCAAGGCTTTGAAGATAATCCCCAGTTAAAACACTGGGATAACGATTTTTTAACAAAAAAGTGGGTAATTTCATAAGCAACACATTCTGGCTTTATTTATTTCCTCCTTGTTCCAATTTGCTGATCTTTGCCATATGAAAGTTCAAAAAAAAAAAAAAATGACTGTATTGACTGGTAATAAGGAAATCCAATTACCACAAAAAAGGAAAAAAAATACGGACAATAATACCACTAATATTACATATTAAACTTAATTGCATCGAAGAAATCCCCAATAATTCAAAAAAATTGTTAACTAGCAAAACACAGCACATCAGACATTACTAGGGCACACAATCAAGGCACGATTCGACAGTGTAATCAGCAAATAGTATTGCAAAATTCAAGCCTTTAAAAGCTTGAGAACTTCAAGCACAATGCTTTGTATCTATAAAGCTTGAACAGAACCTTGACTTGCTTAATAATGAGTGTAAGTTGGACCTCAAAGAGACCCCAAGGGCCCAAGGTAATCAATCATAGCTGGCATTCAGGAACTTCAACAATTCGTTCCGCTTATTCTCTGCAAACTTGTCCTCTTTCGATTTTTCAAGCTTCATTTGTATCTGCGGGAAGTAGCAGCAGTAACAACACATAATATGAGAATCATTTCAGAGAGCTCGACCCTTCATAAAACAAGCTGAAATGTTACCTTTTTTCCAGATACCACACTTCGACGAACACCATCATCTTTATCTCGCCCTAAAAACTGCATGACAAGCACATAAGATGAGAGTCGGAGGTATTATAAAAAAAAAATATAAAATAAATAAAAAATAAATATAAAAAAAAACAGCTACAAAATGCTTCAACAAGAAATCTAGTTATACAACACATGCATTATTTACCTTGGATAGCTGCACAGGACCATTACTCCGTCGCTCATCCTGCTCTTTCTGCATATAGCTCCAAAAAGCAGGAGAAAGCCGAACCAAAAAACCATCCAGACAAGCCAATCAAGAGTCCAGACATCAGGTCATAGATCCCAGCTCCAATTTTGAAGAGCAAGTAACAATAAGAGTGTCAGAGTAAAAAAGATGATAAATAGAATATGTCAAAATGCTACTACACTAGTAAAATAAATTTTTAATCAACAAAAAACATTTTGTGTGAAGTGTGTCACTAGTTTCACATTCACTACAAATATTTTGGTTTTGAATGAGGGATTAAAAGTAAATGCTTTTGTGAGACAAGTGTATTCCTACCTCTTTATTGTGCTTGTGTCGTTTACGGTGATGACTCTTATCCTTGTCTTTTCCTTTGTTCTGAGAAAACAGCAGGTCATAAAATGCCATATAGATCCTTTTTATTTTTGGTTAAGAAAATTCCCAAAAGAATGCAACGCAAGCCGGTATTAAAATTACCTTCTTTGGCTTGTCATCATGCTTGCGTCTTCTTGAGCGACTTGAAGTTTCACGCTCACTCTCAGAAGAGCTACTCAAGTTCCAAAAAAAAAAAAAAGTTTAATATACTGCAGAAAGAGATATGTAGCCAAGGAATCAAGTCAAAATTCGACTAAACAAATACAAGGGAGCAGCCCACAACATTCAAGAATGCATAAAAACTAATGCAATAAAGACCCACCACTTGTATAAGATACTCGATAACAATATTGAAGTAAATGATGGCAAACCTCATATACTCTACAGATTTCTAGCAAAAGACCATATAATCTAAACATGACCCAAGCAAACAGCAATGTCTAATGGTCAAGCCTCCATTACATACAAGATCTAAGTAAAGAAAAAGCCAATCCAGGATTCCAAGTAGGGAAATGCAAGCAAAGTCACTAAGATTCTCTTATCAGTTAGCTAATCCCAAATTAGTTCCATCAATGTATAGTAGAACACCAGCTGTCCATCAATTTGCATACTAAGAGAGAAATTAGTGTTTCACATAATTTAAATGCTAGTTGTATAACATGAATTCCAAAATGTTCCACAAGCTACCACTACAAGCCTGAAACATGACCAAGTGGTGATTGCCTGCATCAGAAACCCATACCCAACTCCATGAATGCAACACCGACATGAAAGAAAGCTACATCACTTGAGAATTTTTATCAAGTTCAAGTAGCACAGTCATATACTTAGGTGCTAGGCCATAACATGAAAGTTGGACGCTCTAAACTAGATATTGACACAAAAAGGAGGAAAGCCAAATGCAACCTTCCAACTTCTTGTCATACTTGTTACATATGCATACTCAAGTTCAGATACGAGTGGGACAGGTGTTTAATAGTAAAACTACTATTTTAAAGACAACACTACTTTCTGAGCTGTATATGATTTTCAACTTCTCAAGCAAGTTACAAGTCATGAAATACATTAACTCCTTAAAGGCTTACAGAAAATATCTTCTCAAGCTTGTAAGCATCTATTTGAAGCCGTTCTCATAAGATCAAAGATATGAAACTAACACAAACATGTAAATTGTATTAGCCAATGGACGTTAACTGTTGAGTATACTCTATAGAATCTGAAGTCAGAGTAAGTGATACCAGGTCACAAATTCCAGGAGAGAAAGAGGACAAAGTATCACATAACGAATTCAACGTCTAGGAATATAAGTACAATCAATTTTCCTTTAGGGTTGAATACAACATATGGTGTGCTAAATTTCTGGAAGACATGACACTACTTGGTTTTTGCATCACTCATTTTCTGCGTAATTGTTACCAAATTCATCCTTGGTTTTGGGAAGTAAGCACTTTTAACAGCTCCTAACACAATCAATTGTTTGACAATAAGGAATGAATGAGAGTTAGGGGATTACAGGATATAAGAGTAAGAAGGTAAGGTTGTATTTTCATCGTATTAGAGAGAACATCTCCTTAATAACAAAACCTAACTTTTCTGTTCTCACATCATCAAATGTACGAAGGACTTCCAAAACAAAAAGAGCTTTTAACATTCACATCTGGAATCCTCATTTTGCTCATGGCTACAGATAGCAACGTATCGATCACAACTGTGCCAATCAACATAATCTCACCAATTCAGCAGGTTCACAATTTTTACGGCATTAGCTTTTATCTCTATCCGTCTCAATACTACTTCACCTTTAATACTATCTCTATTCGTCTCAAATCATCAAATGTACGGACTTCCAAAACAAAAAGAGCTTTTAACATTCACATCTGAAAACCTCATTTGTTCATGGCTACAGATAGCAACGTATCGATCACAACTTTGCCAATCAACATAATCTCACCGATTCAGCAGGTTCACAATTCTTACGGCATTAAGCTACTATCTCTATTCGTCTCAATACTACTTCACCTTTAATACCTCCCCAACCACACGAGTAAACAAAAAAGATGTTATTGCAATCAGTCCTTTTAAACTATGACTTAATTCATCACCAGCTAACGAATCAAATACTAGTCAAAATCTCTGTAATTGCAGCTCAAATATGAGATAATTGATAAAATAAATGTAAATCCTATAATATTAAAATCATAAATTACAAAATCCCCAATATATTTCACAAAAATATCATCAATTGCAAAACAATTAGTCTTCGTGATAAAACAACAAACAAAAAATCAATTAAATCATTCAAACACGATAAGATAACCGATAAAACCTAAAAATAATAAAACAGAATAAAACCTACTTAACAAATACAGCTGAGAAAATAAAAGGAAGGAGAAGTATACCTATAATCATCCGAAGAATACGAATCAGAGGAATGAGAATCGGAAGAAGAGTGACGACGACGACGTCGTTTAGACTTGGAATGAGATTTAGGTTTCCGGATCTTGAGGGACTCGCGATGGCGGTTGCTGCTACTGCTGCGGCGGCGTCGACGACGGCGGCTTCTATCTCTGTCAGAGGAAGAAGACGATGAGATCGATGACGTGTCGGAGGAAGAGGTCGCCGTCGATGGCGAAGCCGCCATGATTGAATGAGTCAAAGAGCTGTGCGAGAGGAAAGGAGGATGATGCGAGAAAAAGGTAGGGGATGCCGGAATGGGGGTTTTCTTATGTTTGTTTGCTTGGTTTGGGGTTTGGACTCGATTACGGCTTTATTGGGTTGTCAGATTGTTATTTGTTAAGCTCTAGCGCCGCACCCGCAACTCAATAAAGATTTCGCAAGATAAAAGAGGTTTCATCCCAAAACAATTACGTTTCCAAGTTGATCAATCCAAAATTATTTCCCACTTTGCATTGGATTATAAATTAATTCCCAGAGTATTGTCTAGATTAGTTAACTACCCTTTTTTTTTATTATTTTTTTTTTAAGTTCAACCAAGAACCGCAATCGACGATAGCGATTTTACGGTTTATAACCGCTATCACAAATTGCGATTTTAACTTCAATGGAAGCCGTTCTGTAGTTTGCGATTTCAACTTATACTCCCTGCCACTTATATTAACAACTCCCTCCATCCCATAATATAATTATTGTTTTCCTATTTTGGAGATCCAAAATATTGTTCCTGTTTTTATTTTTGGATATATGTAAAAACCATTATACCCTCACTTTTTTTAATTTTATTCATTGTACTTCCTATATTACCCTTGAATTTTACACATGCCTTGTACTTTTTTCCATTTTTTCTCTCTAACTTTTGTTTATAATTGTACTTTTCACTTTATTAATGCACTTCATCCACTTTCTTCTCCTATTTCTTAAATATTTTGAAAAAACACAAACAGAAACTATATATTGGGACGGTGGGAGTAGTATTTGATCGCCGGATAATAGGTCGTGTCTACTATCCTAAATCAAATCAACAATTTATATTCCTAACCTTACTCTATCAAGTTACACTCGATAGTGGCAAGCTAGGGTCGAACCACAGGGACTAAGTGTATCAGTTTGAGCTAATTAAACTAGTAGGAAGGTTGTGAGATAGAGAGTAGAACAACTAAAACACTACTTAAAGCAATCAACAAGATATTAGGGAAAGGGGAATCCAATTACATTACTGAATTCAACAAATTGTAATTAGATGATCATGGTCTCAATTAGGAACGATTAACACACTCAACTCACTCTCGCGCAATTAAGCATGCTAATTATCCTACTAAGCTAATTCACTCCTGTGTAACTAGCCTAGCATAGGCATAGAAGAATTTAGACTCTCAATCAACTCACTTCCGCACAATTGGTTGAAAGCACAATTAAGAACCCAGAATCAATTAGCTAAAAAGATTCTAATCAATGTAAGCATCATCCAAACACAAGAATCAAGAATCAATTGCATACTCATCAGTAATCACAATCAATCACTCAATTTTCTTCATAACCTTCATCCATTTCCCTAGAACAAAATCTAAGCAAACATAATGAAGAAAAACATGGAAAACAAGGTAAAACGAGAATTAAAGCAAGAATCAAACAAGTAAACTAATTACCTAGTATAATCAACAAAGAATTAAGCAAAAACAAGAATTAAACAAAGCAATAAATGTGAGAGAAAGTTAAAAAAAAAAAGCTCATTGAATAGATGAGAAGAGAATCCACAAAATTGCTTATTCAAGCTCTCAAATCTCCATCAAAATCCCAAGCTTTCTCTCTCCAAAACTACTCCTAAACTAGAGAGAGAAACTCCTAATCTAAGCCTAATCCTAATTAGTGGAGAGAGAATGTAAAAACTTTATTCTCTTTCAACCCAATAGAAATCATTCTATTTATATTACAAGAAGAGAAAGAAGGAAATCCTGAAATTAAGATCGAAAAACACCCAGAAAGCCGCGCCCGTGGTAGCAGCTTCTCCAAGGCATCTCCAGGAACTTGCAAAGGCTAGAAAAAGGGAGCAGCCGAGCTTGCGGTGGCCGAGCGGGGCAGCTTGCTCTTGCTTGCTTCTTGGCTTCAAGGCTTCTTCTTATGCAATTTTTCGGCCTTCTCTCGGATCATCAACATCGAGGAACGTGGCAAGTACCTAGACAAATAGACCAAGAGAGAAAAGAGTGAAAGATCACATAGAAAAGCACGCAAATTAAGCTAGAACCCGAACAAAAAGCACATTATTCACAACTAAGGCCTAAAAACATAAACTAAGACAATATTAACTAAAACAAGAATAAAAGGACTAGAAATAACCAAGAATGACCAAAATAAACCTAAAACTAAGGGAGAAAAGCACCCTAAAATGTGTCATGAATGACACTTATCAGTATTCCATGCTTATTATATTACCTTGTAAAAAGAAAAAGGCATACAACAAATCTTGATAATGCTCCAAGTACACCAAATAACATAGCAACTTTAATTACTCAAAAATCTAAACCTAATTTCCCCAAGGCAAATTTAATTACTCAAAATTAAAAAACCAAGGCATAATGCTCCAAGTAAACCAAATAACACTGTAAACATAATTAAGGTTGGAAAAGGTGGTGGGGAAGGAATCCAGGCCACAACGCAGTGTGTTTACGATGGTGAGAAGCTGGTGGTCGTCATGAAACGCTATGGAGGAGAGAACAATGGTAATCGATTTTTGTAACGTTGCTCTGTTTTTTTTCTTTTTTTTGTTTTTTTTAAAAAAATAAAAAATAGTACTTTTGTCGATAGAATGAAATGAGGTGGAAAAGAAGAATTGGGAGTAACTATTAAAAGAATAAGAACCGTTGTTAGTGATTGCGGTTTTACTCCTTAAACCGCTAACGACGTTAGCGGGTTTACTACTTTAAAATTTTTTTTAAAAAAATAAACTAAAATCTTATCCGATCCTAGGTGGACAATACTTTGGGAATTATTTTTTAAACCGAAGAAAACAGGGAAATTTTTTTAATTTAAGCTATATTGATGGAAATCGTTCATAGGAGGAGTAGCCCTTAGCCTTATAAAGTGATTAACTGTTTATTCTTCAACACTTATACTAGTCCTCTTTGGCTCTGGTGGTGGCTTTTAAGATTATTGAAACCATAGGTCAATGGTTCAACCAAGCTAACTTTGGTCTAATGATAAGAGTGTACTTTCCAACCTTAAGGTTGGGGGTTCAATCCCTATTAGAGACACTTTGAAGTGGGGATCCCTTACTCTTTCCCCTTCACTGTTAAAAAACCATGAGGGTTGAGGTACGGTCAGAGTTTTTTTTTCCTTACCTTAAAAAAAAAAAAAAAAAAAAAAGGCCAAGGGTTCATGGACTAGTAGAACAACTAATAAACTTTTAAATAACTTGGGTGTATGATAAAGATTTATTTATTGTATATTACTATATTAGTGGTAATACTTTAAAATGATTAAATGATACCTCAACATATTGTACATAGCTCAAAATTACTAATACCTCTTTTTTATTGATATTGATAATAAATAGTTGTAATAACTGATTTGACTATCTAATTCTGTTAGCTAGTTTGATTATTAGCTCGTAGAATAAACTATTTGAAAAAAAGTGTTTGGTACTATATTAATATTAGGAGTAATTATTAACAACTTTAGGATAAAATAGTCATATTGTTATAAGTTTAAATCATCTCTTTGAAAAAGCTCAAAGCTCCCAAATTAGCTTTTTACAAATAGCTTTTTGGGCATAATAAGCTATGTCAACTAGGAGTGAAAGTTCGGTTTGCGGTGTGGTTTATATTTCAAACCGAAATCAAACCATATTAATTCGGTTTTGAGATTTTTCAAACCACACTGCACCATATTACTATTGAAACCGAACCAAACCACATCGTTTTAAGTTCAATTTTTCTAAGGTTCGGAAATATACCAAGTAAAAGCCTACCTAAAAACTTTCTCTCGCCTCTTCCTCTCTCCCTGTCCAAAAAAAACCCTAAAATCTTTGACAACCGCAAGGGGCTACCATCATCATCTCTTTGATGATGGTAAGCCCCATTTCTTTCTTTGTTTCCTTTGTTTTTTGTTTTTTAGTCATTAATAATCCTCCTTATTTTCTCTTTATGAGAGTTTTCTTCCCAATTTTTGGGTTTGTTCTCTCCTTTTGTGAGAGTTTGGTGTTTGTCTTTCTTCTCTTCCCTTATGGAAGATTGAAATTTATTTTTAGGGTTTTATCTAAAAGATTGGATTCATGGGTTGTTATTCGTACAATTTTGCAATTGGAGTTGGAATTGAGGATGCGATCGACATGGTTAAGTAATGAATTTTCTTCCCAAAACTATGTCAAGAAGATGGACTCCCTCACAGAAACTGCATTATTCAGCGAACAATCGGGGACTGTGCTTCATCGTCAGATCTAGTTTCTCATCATCATAGTTTCTTTAAAGAGGAATTTTACTTGATTAATTTAGATTGTATTTTACTTTTCTATAATGCTTATTGTAGATGTTGTATGACTTTCAATTAATGATATTTTATCTTTCCCTTCAAAAAAAAAAAAAAAAACCACACCGCAATTTTTAGGCCTAGTGATTGGGGCTTTAATTTGCAACTTTTATGGGCCTAATTACTCAAAAAACTTGTTTTTTGGGTTTGATTATCCAAAAATAAAGCCAATAAATGTCAAATAGCAAATAATGAAATAACAAGTTCTAGCTTCTAATGAAGTAATGATAGTGATTAAGGCCTTATTTAGTTCAACTTATTTTTACTTATTTCAAAAGAAATAAGTTCAGGTCAGATCATATCAGAAAAAATAAGTTCAGATCAGTTCAAATTAGAAAAAATAAGTTTAGATCAGATCATCGTTTTATGTGCAATTTTTTATCGCTATATATCTTTAATTTCGTAATGAAAATTACACATTAATAAAATACCATTATTACGAATCTAACAAGATCCCATTTGATATATTTTTTCCTTACAGATTATCGTACACTTAAGGTCATAGTTTGGTCAAATCAGACAATATGATCAGATCAGATAAGTTCAAATAAGCAAAATTAAGGTGAACTACACAGGGCCTAAGTCTTATAAGACTTATAATTTGGATATGGGACATATTTCGGTTTGGAATTCGGTTTTTCAGTTTTTCAAATCCTAAAACCGAAACCAAACCGTAATTTTTTTTTCTCAAACCAAACCAAATCATATTAGAAAAAAAACCGCACCGTATTTCTAATTCGATTCAACTTGCGGTTTAGTTCGATTTTAATTCGCATTAGTTTCACCTCTAATGTCAACCCCCCAATAACGGATCCCCCAAGTTACCAGTGGAAGAAGTTTGTTTATAATTGTTGAAATAGTTGTTAGATTAGTAAGTCCATCTCGATGCGTAGATGTTGTGTTTCTAGTTTTC